CCTCTTCTTCTCAAAATATTCACGTTCCTGGGATGCGAACATTCGCCTCAATCCTTTTAGTCAATCTTTTCTTCGAACGACACGTCGTAATAGGCCCCTGGAACAGATTTAGATCCAATTATCCATCTGAAAATCAGGCCTGCTTTAGGCAAGATCCTATAGTGTCAGCATGCCAACGGCTCTCCTAATGAAATTCGAGCACTCAGATGGTTACGAATAAGTAATACACAACCAGAGAGTTGAGGACGATTCAAAATGCGAAAGTAAATGTTATGCCGTTCCGTGAGACACTTCTTTAAGTCGCTAAAAAGTGGACTAGAAGCATAGAAGCTTGTGCGCGGCCACTCACTTTCACCATGTCGTTCGTGTAGTGTTCGAAGCAGAAAATGACATGAGCGGGCACAGATAAGTCGAGTTTCAAAATTTTTTAAATCCGATACGAAATTGCTATAGAACCTGCAGGGGAATTCAAAGTTGCTTTAGCAAACCCGGCTCGGACAATTCAAAATTTTCCCCAGAAAAAAAAACGGGTCAAACCATCAAAGAGGAAACAAGTCAATAAAAATTGTTGTGAATGGAAGGAAGTTTATTGCGTGATTCTGATGGAAAGGGCTCATTTTGACTTAAATAGTATAGGTTAACAGGAAGCCCAGAGCACAAAAAGAACAGTGCCTGACCCAACAAGGGAAGCAGATCTGCTGTGCGTCATTCATAAACTTAAAAAGAGGACTCTCGATAGGCACTCGTGTGCCTTAGTTTTGAAGGTCTTGCGTACAATTTAGAACAAGGAGCTGATTAAAAATACTAGCATAGAGGTCTTACCTTTAACAGCAAAACTTCAAACAAAGTTCAGTGAGTTTACATTGACAAGACATGTGGCTTAAGTGTGGAACAGGAAATATTGAAGATGATCTGTGTAGCACTCACCTACGTTGTCATACGAAAATTCGCCGTCCATTTTGAAGACTGACTCCTCCTGAAACGGTATGAAGTGTAAAAAAAACTTTTTGGGACAAAAAAGGGGAAAATAACTGGGGTATGCAAAAACGCTTTGAACTGGGGCGGAAGATCGTATATGGAAGTCGTCATCTGCTTTATGTGTTTAAATTCATTAAAGGTTAACTACAGCACCGTAGTTCCTGCCAGACAACAATGGTCAAAGTTATCGCGTTACAGCAAAAAAGACAGTTCAACCGTCGTTACCGACAATGACCAAAGTGTGTCTCACAGGAAGGTGAGCACCAAGACGATGAATTGCGCATGAATTAGTTTACGAGTGATAGTAGACTTTCACAGCATCTACCACAATCAATCTCCTCCCTCACAATCTGGGTCCGATATCAAGACAGTCAGGAAGACCGGAAGCGGGATCGGACGCAAGTGGCTGGCGCGGCGCGAACCTCCGCTTAGGTGTGCCCCTTCTCTGTGTGCCATTTGTTATGGGTGCGCATCCCCTATAACTAGTGGCGTGCCCTGACGGGGCTGATAGATTAATAGACAACTACAGAGGCCACATAGACACGTTTCAGAAAAAAAATAATAGATAGGACTCCCTCATATCATAAAAACATACTCATCTCAATCTAG